TATCACGATCGTATATTTAAACCCTAGAGCCATCCAGAACGTAGAAGATGAGATTTATAAGGTTTTTAAAGAGAAAAAAGAGGCAAGAACGCGAAGAATGACACCACGACACGAAGATTGATCTCAAGACTTGAATTGGTTATGTCGTTCTTCATTGATTTTTCTGATTTTCTTTATTCCACAATTCTAGGTTTAATTATAGGTTTAATTACTCGAGTTATACAAGCTCAAAAATATGCTTTTATTTACTCAAATATTAGTACAATGCCCTTTTTCTTTTAGAAATCCAGTTTCTAAAAATAACCTCTAACTTAAAACTTTTACTTCGTCCTCGTCTCGTTGGTTTTAAACAATCCACACAAGTTAGTATCATGCACATAATCTCTACTCATCTTAATGTTCTCTTGTAACAATTCAACCATCTCCAAACCACCCTACAGTTGGATTATGGATTTATACGATATAGGTTATTCGGGTTTACATACTATGTTCAACTATTTTCTAAATAATGAACCAAATCACTAACTCAATATGTCACATGAGTATTGTGTATAAAAAATGTCAAGTTTGGCATTCACAAGCTTTGATTAATCTAATAGTGCACTATTCTCATTATTCACAATTCATACATAGTCCAATATTCAATATCATAGCCGACAAAGTTATCAAACCCACACAAACACACAAAACTCTAACTTTAATGCTAGAAAATAAACAAATAAAAACTGAAAGTAACTAAATGAAAATTGCACAAAAGACCAAATTCAAATTTTTTCACACAATCACGCAAATCTACAGTAAAATATGATGAATGCCACGCCCACATATATATAAAACATTGTCCTCAAGGTTGTTAAGAATATAAAAAGCAATGTAATAAATATGTGTCAAAAAGGACAAATGCACAATAAGTCAAAGAAAATGGGGCTCAAAATACTCATCTGATCAGTATGGAGGTGGTGGATGGAAACCAAAACTGGATGCGCCATCAGCCGATGGTAATGGGAGACGTACGAGGATATGTCTCATTAATTCGGATTGCTATGCAAGCTCGACCTGTATGCCCTGAATGTGGAGAGATTGATCCCGAACCTCAACCTCGATGTTACCCAAATGGTCCCATGACTCGTTAGCTCTTAACTGAATCCCATCAACTCTGACCACATAGTTATTCAACCTCCCATTCATGATCTCAACCTCGTGTCTCACAGCCAAGGACTCCATACTGGCATTGGAAGCAAAGTTCCTGGTGCTAAGCATGTCATCTTGAATCTTCTGGATAGTCGTACCCATGGTGTCCACAGCCTGCCCAAGACTCTCAATATCTCAGCTTAAATCAGTCATAGTGGCGAACATCTGTCTTAACAGCTGAGTGTCGACATCCAATGGTGCTGACAGTGGCTTAAACATCTTAGTATCCTCAGCCCCCTGGTCATGTGCAGCCTGCTGCTGCCTCAAATGTGCCCTCTTTTGCTTCTCTCTATGTTTTACCCTTGCTAGATCTAGAGCCTCCAAGGTAGTCTGTTTAATGAAGGGACTAGGTTCTTCGGGAAGCTCCCCGGATGGGATAGTAATGCCATCCTGCTTACAAATGCTACTGATGAGATTCAAAAAAATCAGAGAACGGTGTCGATCTCCCCAAACACCCTAAGAGTGAATTTGATCATAAATAAAGGTCGCTAAATCAATCTTCCATCCTTGTACCAAGTGATATAGTAAACTGGCCATTGGATAAGTAAATGTAGTCCTATGTGAAAGTGGGCTCGATGTTATGGCAAATGAACAACCAAAGAATGGCTATTGACAGTGTAAGCTCAATCGGATGCCACACAGAAGACTGTAATGGCCAAGCATCATCATGCCCAAGTAGAACTCCTCCGACCGTGCTCCAATGGAAATCACCTGGAATAGAAGCAATGATATCCCACGTCAATTGATATTAGTCATGTATGACCTTGGGTGTAAACATGAACCACTTATCCTACACCCATGTCTGATGTTGATGTTCGGACCCAGGGGTATCGATGTCTATGTTGAAGTTTGTATAAAACTCATGAACTAGTCCCTTGTACATCGGATGAGGTCTTTCGATGACATTTTCCAAACCGTAGTTGTGGATCAAGGTGACTATCTCGAAACCAGGAAAATCTTCCAATTTAACCGGTCGTTCTAGAAGCAAGGCCCAATGGCTTACGATATCAGAGTAACGGGTGATGGCCTCTTGATTGAAAAACCATCGTAAGCCCCCTTCAGGTCCCCGAGTGCATGGAGTGCTCGAGGTGGATGCTACTTTTTCCTTCCATTTAGAAGTGCATTTCAGAGGCATTCTGCAACACAAAGAAAATTGAAACATGTAAGTCATATGTGATGCATAATTGAAGTCTATAGTACGTGAGGATAGTATAGAAAAATGAGCATCAAAATTCTAAACGTATGTCAAAGCAGGCATGCCACGTGTGTGATCTACAATGTCATGTAATCGACCAAATAAAGTATAAAACGATGTAACTATGCCATGCTCGACAAAATACATCATGAATGATGGGTATTATATAAAAATTGGCAAAATTGTAACTCAAAACCCAATATTATTGCAAAAGAGGATTTTTTTTTTTTTTTTTGCATTTAAAACTATGGTCGACTAAGCAAGTTCGCCTCCGGATATTGTCGAGAAAAAACGAAAATTTTCGTAACAACCTTTGGGCATATGAAAGAAGGTATGTTATTCTAACACATATTCAAATTTGAGATCAAACAGACGTCATTTGGGTTGGGAAACTAAGGGACAAAGTGAGGGACGTAAGGTGCCATGTGCCTAGCCACATTATGCCTATGTGTGGTCAATTTTGGTTTGGCGTTTCCAAATACATTATTAAGGAATATCAACTGGAAAATCAAGATAAAGTACGTAGCAACATTGTCAAATTCGAAACAAACCCTAATTCCACACAAAAGCTCACATATGCATTTCATCGAACATTTCAAGCACTTCATTTTTCATGGAAATTTCAAGACATTGGTTATGAATCAAACCATAATTTTTTTTTCTCAATTCAACACAAAAACTCCATCATCTACCTAATTCCCCACTCTTTAATCAAGCATGCAATTCCGTTCTCAAAGCACTAAAGAAGAAGTTAAATAAAATAAGGGCAAAAAGGAGTGGATGACATACCTTGATATGTTGATGAAGAAGAATGGGGAGAATACACTTGGGAGTGATGAGGTGTGGTGGCTTTTTCGTGCAAGGCCGTGTGCATGTGGTGAAGTATGGATGTGTGCATGAGTTAGTGTGAGAGTGGTGTGCGTGGGTTTTTTTTTTAAAAAAAAAGGGGTGGCCTCATTTTTGTTCTATGCGACCGTATAGAACAACCCATGCAGTCACATAGAACAACTAGATGCTTACGATCGCAAGCCTGGTAGTGTATGAGGTCGCATAGACGATAAAGTTGGCCAAATTTGTCATTTTGCTGAAGGTTTTCTTCTTCGATCGTTGGCAGCCCCTATTGCTTCGTTTTTCATGCAAAACAAGTTCAAATGAATGTAATGAGTTAGTGCATCATTAAAATTTTTGAAAACATATTCAATTCTTGAAAAACTGGTTTTTGGTCAATTTTCACTAAAAACTCGATTTACAACCTACATTGGAACATGGCATTCCAATGCCCCCACAACTTGTCAAAACATATTTTAAACCACTGGGTGTGTGTGGATTTCAAAAACTTGGTTCCAAAAACATTTTTAAACTTGAAAACACGTGTTGATTCTGAAAAGCACAATTTTGATAGTTTTTCCTCAAAATGCATAACTTTTGCGCTGAATCAATGAAATACCATTCCAACACCCCAAACTCATGCAAACACATTTAAAACCTAATTGGACCATGTATAGACTCTTAAAAACCTCTAGGGATGATGAATAACCTAATATGTCTAAAATTTTTTCTCGAAAACAAGAAAAATTCATAATCTAATTCATAAAACGAAATAAATAAAATGGAAGAATATGTTGGGTTGCCTCCCAACCAGCCATAATTTATAGTTTATAGCTCAACTATACTTCAGTTGATTCACTTCGCTCCAATAAGGTTTTAATCGTTGTCCATTCACTTTAAATGTTCCCTTGTTATCGTGAGTGATTTCAACTGCTCCATATGGAAACCTTATTGACTGTATGTGGTCCGAACCATTTTGACCTCAACTTTCCAGGGAAAAACTTGAGTCTCGAATTGTATAATAGACTTGTTGCCCTACCACAAACTTCTGTTACTGAATATTCATGTCATGCCACTTTTTGGTGCACTCCTTATAAAGTTTTGCATTCTCATACGCCTCCAGTCGGAATTCATCCATCTCATTCAATTGCAGCAATCTATTTTCACCAGCTACCTTCAAATCAAAGTTTAAATTCTTGACTGCCCAGTATGCTCGGTGCTCCAATTCAACTAGTAAATGACATGCTTTCCCAAAAAATAATCGGTATGGAGACATGGCTATAAGTGTTTTGAATGCTGTCCTGTAAACCCATAGTGTGTCGTCAAGCTTCTTAGACCAATCTTTCCTAGAAGAGCTCACTATTACCCCTAGTATTCTTTTCAACTATCTGTTAGAGATTTCAACTTGGCCACTGGTTTGAGGATGATATGGAGTTGCTACATGATACCGAATGCCATATGTACCTAATAATGACTCAAATTGACGATTGCAAAAGTGTTTGCCCCCATCACTGATTATAGCCCGATGGTGCCATAACGGGTGAAAATATACTTCTTTAAAAACCCAATCACCACTTTAGCATTGTTGGTTGGCAATGCTATTGCTTCTACCCATTTAGAGACGTAGTCAACAGCAACCAGTATGTATTGATTTAAAAATGAAAGTGGGAACACTCCCATGAAATCAATTCCCCATACATCAAAAAGTTCCAACTCGAGGATGCTGTTTAGAGGCATCTCATTCCTTCTTGAGATATTACCAGTGCGTTGACACTATCACACCATTTCACAAATTCAAAATCATCCCGGAATATGGAAGGCCAATAGAGCTATATTGTAGAATTTTTGCTACTGTTTTGGATGCATCAAAATGACCCGCGTATGCAGATAAATGACATTGCTCCAATATTTTAAGGACATCTTCCTCTAGCACATATCTTCGAATAATCTGATCTACTCCTCGCCTATACAAAATGGGATCTTCCCAAAAATAATATTTCAAGTTAGCGAAAAACTTTTTCTGCTGATGACTCGAATAGTTTGGTGGTGTGATAGACTTGGCCAAGTAATTTAGATGTCGCATACCAAGGTACTCCATCCATTTGCTTATCTGGAAAAATATCATTAATGTCAATGGAATCATTCTGCTCTCTTGGCTCCAATCGTGATAACTGGTCCGCTACCACATTTTTGCTGCCCTTCGTGTCCCTTATCTCCAGATCAAATTCTTGTACTAGTAACACCCAACAGATAAGTCTTGATTTGGCATCCTTATTCGTCAACAAGTACTTTAAGGCAGTATGATCAGCGTAAACGATGACCTTTGATCCCATAAGATATGACCGAAATTTGTCAAAGGCATAGACCATCATTAACAGTTCATTCTCCGTAGTGGCATAGTTTAGCTGGGTGTCAGTCAATGTTTTGCTTGCATAGTATATCACGTTACACTGTTTCCTAATACTACCCCTACTGTATAATCACTAGCATCACACATTAATTCAAATGGCAAATTCCAATCCGGTGCGATGATCATGCTGCTGAAGTCAGCTTCTCTTTTAAAGTGTTGAAATCCGCAAGACACTCTTCAGAGAAGTTAAATGCGACATCCTTGACCAGTAGGTTACACAGATGCTTGGTGATCTTCGAAAAATATTTAATGAACCGTCTATAAAACTCGGCATGCCCAAGAAAACTACGAACACCCTTAACTGATGTAGGTGGCAATAATTTTCTCAATAACCTAAATTTTCGCTTCGTCCACCTCTATCCCTTTAATTGAAATGCAACGAGTGGCATTTTTCCCAATTCAATATCAAGTTGGTCTCCCGCACAGCTATAATATCAAACTTAGATGCTCCAAACATTCATCAAACGAAGATCCAAACATCGAGAAGTCATCCATGAAAATTTCTAAGAACTTCTCCACCATCTCAGAAAAAATAGCAATCATGTAACGCTGAAAGATAGCAGGAGCATTGCACAAATCAAATGGCATCCTACGATAAGCAAATGTACCATAGGGGTACGTAAAGATCATCTTCTCCTGATCATCGAGTGCTACTAGGATGTGATTATATCCAGAGTAGCCGTCAAGGAAGTAGTAGTATAAATGACATGCCGCCGTTCAAGCATATGATCAATGAATGGAAGATGAAAGTGATCCTTCCTAGTGGCGCGTTGAGTTTCCGGTAATTAATGCACAATCTCCAACCTGTAATAGTTCGCGAGGAAATTAATTAATTCTTCTCGTTCTGCACCACAGTAATACCACCCTTTTTAGGCACAACCTGGACTTGACTAATCCATGCATTGCCTGATATCGGGTAAATGGTTCCGACGTCTATGAGTTTCAGTACTTCAGCCCGAACCACCTCCTTCATGTTTCGGTTTAGTCTTCTTTGACCATCTATACAGGGTTTAAACTTCTCCTCCATGAGAATCTTGTGCATGCACAGTGAATGGCTTATTCATTTGATATCCGCGATTGACCATCTAATTGCTATTTTATTTTTTCGGAGTACCTGTAGTACTCTCTCTTTCTCCACCTCACTAACTAAGCTCGAAATAATCACCAGAAGTGTAGAAGAATCCCCCAAATAAACATAACGAAGATGAGGAGGTAGTTGCTTAAGCTCCAACTTCGGAGGCTGTTGAACAGATGGTAGTGGCCTTGTAGGACCAGTAACTAATTTCTCAAACTGACGTTTCCATGTGTATGGTGGGTTAGTTTCCAAAAATTTCGCACTTGTCTCAATCTCAAAAGAATAAGAGTGAGTAGATTGGGAATGTGCGATACATGCTTCATATGCATCTGACGAGTTGTACAACAAAAATGTATCTTGGTCTACATTTTCAAGTACATGTATCTGGAAACATCTATCTGACTCAGTGGAAAATTTCATGGCCTTGAAGACATTAAAAACAACTTTTTCCTTGTCGATCCTCAAAATCAACTGACCCTTTTGTACGTCGATAAGTACTCTACTAGTAGCTAAGAATGGTCATCCTAGTATAAATGCTACACCATTGTCTTTCTCCATGTCTAGGATAAGGAAATCCGCTGGAAAGATGATTTTTCCCACTTTAATCAGTACATCTTCTATAATCCCTCTTGGGTGGGTAAGGGATCGATCAACCAGTTGTAGAGTTACTGCTGTTACCTTAACTTCTCCCAAATCGAGCTTCCTGAAAATAAAAAATGGTATCAAATTAGTACTTGCACCTAAATCACATAAAGCTTTATCGAAATGATAATTTTCAATAGTGCAAGGTACAGTAAAACTCCCATGGTCTTTAAGTTTTGGAGGTACCTTTTTCTGGATTCTAACACTACATTCCTCGGTTAACATTACTATTTCATGTTTCTCTAGCTTGCGTCTGTTAGATAGAACGTCCTTCAAAAACTTGGCGTAGCTTGTCATTTGAATAAGGGCATTGGCGAACGGAATGTTGATGTGTAGTTTCTTGAAAACTTCTAGGAATTTCTGTATTATTGATCCATCTTGTGCTTGTAAGGATTGATATGATTTTTCTCCTCAACCCTTGGTATTTCTAAACTCTCCTTAGTAGGTGCTTCAGGTGTTTGTTCAGTCTGTTCCACTTGTTCCTCTCTTGAAGAAGGCATTTTCTCCTTACTCATAACAGGCCTCTTGACATGAATTTTCGACAGTTTCACCTCGCTTCTGGTTTTTATTGATTTGTTGTGTTCCTTTGGGTTGATCTCTGTATTGTTGGGTAGTGAACCTGGGGCTCTGCCATTCATAGATAGTGTCATCTGTCCCATTTGAGTCTCCAAGTTTTTAATAGCAGCATTCTGATCTTGGAGAGTTGTTTCAGTTTTTCTCATAAACAGATTGTTAGCTTCCATGTATTGATTTATTTTCTCCATGAATTTACCAAACATCTCTTCCAACTGCAACTTCTTCTTCGGCTGCTGAAACTAACCCTACGGCCTATTCTGATTCTAACCACCCTATGAGAAGTTATGGGGCGTCTTCCACCCTGGGTTGTAGGTTTCTGAATGTGGATTAATTTGTTGACGTTGTCCCCATTGTACGAAGTCCACTTGTTCCATACTTTAAGCCACAATCGGGGCACTTCGTTGTGTTGTGATTTGCTCCACACTTCTCACGGCTCGAGTTTTTGGTTTGAGAAACATTAGCTGTCTGTGATATGTTCTCTACCTTATAGAATAATAAGTCTATTTTTGCTATCAAGGCTAAGTAAGCGTCCCCCTCGTATACACCTGGCACCTTCCATTGAACCACCAGTTAGAAGCCCACATTGCTGAAGAAGTCGCCACTGTCTCGAATAGTTTCAAGGCGTCATCAATGGTTCTTGTTGATAATGAACCATTTGACGAAGAATCCACCATGCTTTTGAATTATGGAAGTAATCCCGCATCAAAATATTGGACCTGGAGTCCTTTGCTAATACCTTGATGAGGACACTTCCTTAGCATGTTTTTGAAACGATTCCAAACTTCATCAAATGATTCTGATTTACCTTGACGGAAAATTGAGATGTCATACTTCAATTTTGTAATTTTGGCCAGTGGAAAGAACTTTGTGCAGAATTTCTGAGCTAAGTCGTCCCATGTATTGATGCTGACAATAGGTTGAGAATCCAACCACTCTAGTACTTTGCCATGTAGCGTATTGGGGAACAACTGTAGTCTGACAGCATCATCTGAGATGCCCTAATATTGGAAGTGTCGACACATCTCCAAGAATCGAGAGACGTGTGTAAGTGGGTTTTCTTCAACTCTGCCATAAAACTGATCTCCATTCTAAAATAGATGTATGACATTGGTCTTGAACTGAAAGTTAGGCTACCCAAACAGAGGGTAGATGATGTTGGATTGACTCTGAATGATTTGCAGTGTCATGAAATCTCCAACCAACATGTTTTCCTCATCAATAATTTCCTCTTCATTGACTTGAACCAATTATTCGTTTTGTGCATCGCCATTTGTCATACTGTTCTTGCTTCTCTTTGCCTATGATGGAAGGTCCGTTTGATTTCTGGATCAGCTGGAATCAAGTCACCGTCAAGCGACCTTTGCATACAAGACCTGAAAAAGAATCAAAAGTAGCACTTAGATAAATTACTAAAAAGAAAAATTACTAACTAAAACACAAATAATTAAAAATAAAACTAATATTCGAATTAGTGTTATGATAAATAGAATTAAACTAAATTTAATCCTCGGCAGCGACACCAAAAACTTGTTCACAAAAATATGTCGAATTAAAATCACCGCAAGTGTGTAAGGTTCATTACAATTAATAAAGTGGACTTTTTGAGTCCAAGTATCATCCCACAAGAATTGATTAGTTTTAATTAGAATTATTGTGACCTTAACCAAAAGAATAAAAATGAGTTATTTATTACGATGAACTTCTAACTAAAATAATAACGCGGATGCAATTACGGGTAATGAATTAACCTAATGAATTTGATGTTGAATGCAAAGTGAAGTTTTCCTAATATATGATGAATGTACTGGGATCACGAATCCCTATGTAATATTCTTCTCTAAACCTAGTCTACACTTTTACACACGATTGGAATATTGAAGAATCAATGCTCTTAACTTATTTAGCAGTCTCTCTCGAGTAAAATTAAACATATTCCAATATGTGACCCGACTATATCTCTATGATGGATGCGAGCATACAAGAATGCATGAGTTTTTTGTGAATAATTAAAGATTCACATAAAGTATAGCGGTATATTTCTATCCCCTATCAGACCCTATGATGATTTATACCACGTCAAACCTATTCCTCTTCTTTCGAATGCATGAATCAAGTCACCAAAATCAGAGAATTACGTATACAATAATTATGGAGAAAAAGAAATTCATATAGATTATTCAAATATCCAAAACGTGCTTTTAGTGTTAAGAATTGTAAAACTAAAGTTTAATAATCATATTATATAGTTCATCTAACCCTAGTATAAAATTAATCTAATCTAGCATTGTGGAATAAAGAAAATCAGAAAAATCAATGAAGAACGACATAACCAATTCAAGTCTTGAGATCAATCTTCGTGTCGTAGTGTTATTCTTCGCGTTCTTGCCTCTTTTTTCTCTTTAAAAACCTTATGAATCTCACCTGGTGTCCTATGGTCATTTGACTTGAGAGTCATCGGCCTAAAACTCGTTACATGGGTTATATAAAATGTAAATGAGAAGATGTCACAAAAAAATTATTATACATTTGTATATAAAATTGCATTGATTAAACCCTAGACATTCGGTCGATAGAACTATACATTTAATGAGAGGCAAGTAATTTTGTTTAGTCTTAAAGGTTGAAACAAAAAAAATAAAATAAAATAGAGGAGAATCTCAACTTGTTCAAATGAGCATTTGTAACAGTAAGACCTATCCAACTTAAGAAATGTTGAGGAATAGAATTGAAAACATTCAACTAGAGATCCCTGGGAAAAATAAAAATGAGTCAAAAGCATAAGTTTGGGGGTGTGTATCTCTCGAGCGAAGTGAGGAAATATTGGACTACTATGTTGGCATGAGTTTTCAAGATCTTAATATGTTGGCATGAGTTTTCACACACATACACGTCAAGTTATGCAGGTAACATGTGGAGATTGATTTGATTTTGCACTGTTGAAGTTCTTCATTTTGTTTAGTACTAAGTTCCAATCCTGAGACACGACAGGTTGTCAAACCATGTTTATAGAGAGCTAAGGTACAATTTTGTTTAAGGACAAACAAAAGTTTAAGCTTGGGAGAGTTGATAAGTGCATTTTACACACTTATTTTGAGCTACAAACATGGATAATTGTTAATAAATATGTGGAATATAGCTTAATTCGATGAAATTTGTGTTTTGCAGGACAACAATGATGAATATGATGGAAATAAGGAGAAAGATGGGAAAAGGACTAAAAAAAAACAAAACAAAAGTTCAGGGATCAATGTGTAAATAACTGAAAGATGACCTGGAGGAGATCGAAGATGTGAAGATGGAAAGATCTAATTGAGCATTGGAATGACACATTGGAGGAAGAAAACGTTGAAAAAAAGGTTGAGATTGGCAAGACAAAGTTCAAGGACCAAAAAGCAAGAACTTATAGATTAACACTACTATGCGGTCACATAGACCCTTTTTTGCAAAAATAAAAAGGGCTTTCACTTCTTCTATGGGACCGCATAGAAGTGCACCATGCAGTCAGTCCCGTAGTATAAAAGTAGGAACGAAACTCCTCATGCGTTATGGAAATGTTATAAACCTTCGTACAAATACTTAAAAGTGTGGGGATGTTTGGCTAAGGTAGAAATACCAAAACCTAAACAAGTTAAAATAGGGCCTAAAACCATCGATTTCATATTAATTGGATATGCTAATAACAGTAGAGCTTATCTGTTTCTCGTACATAAGTCTGACGTTCCGGATGTACATGAAAATACTATTATTGAATCTAGGAATGCTGTATTTTTTAGGACAATTTTCCTTGTAAAGATAGGAAAGAGATAAGTTCGCAAAAACAAACTTATGATACTGCAATTGGTAATCACCAAAGTGATGAAGAACCAAGATGTAGCAAAAGGATCAAAACATCTACATCTTTTGGTACAGAATTTTTAACTTATTTGTTAGAAAATGAACCTAGGACATTCAATGAAACAATGTCTAGTCCAAAAGCTCCATTCTGGAAAGATGCTATCAGTAGTAAAATTGATTCTATTATGCAAAATCATACGTGGTTGTTGGTAGATCTCCCACTTGATAACAAACTATTAGGTTGTAAATGGATTTTCAAAAGAAAAATTAAAGACTGGTGGATCAATTGATAAATATAATGCCAGATTGGTAGCTAAAGGATTCAAACAAAAAGGTCTTGATTTTTTCAAAACACACTCACCTGTGACAAGGATGACATCAATTAGAGTATTAATTGCAATCGCAGCATTGCATAATTTAGAAATCCATCTGATGGACATCAAAATAACTTTTTTAAATGGTGAGCTAGAAGAAGAAATTTACATGGAACAACCCGAATGGTTCATTGCTCTTGGACAAGAGAAAAATGTGTGTAGACTTGTTAAGTCGTTATATACGCCAAAATAATGGCATGCAAAATTTGACAAAACTATATTGTCAAATAGTTTTAAGATTAACGAGTGTGATAAATGCGTTTATATTAAAACCACACATAATGCATATGTAATCGCATGTCTATATATTGATGACATACTAATTATGAGTAGTAATTGTGATATCATAACAACTACCAAGAAAATGTTGACAAAACATTTTGACATGAAAGATATGGGTATTGCAGATGTAATATTAGGAATTAAAATCCTTAAAACTTCTGAGAGACTTGTCCTATCTCATTCTCACTATATTGAAACTGTACTTAAGAAGTTTTATATATATGATGAAAATCTAGTTAAAACACCAGTAGACTTAAATCTACATTTGGCCAAACATAAAGTCAAATCCGTATCTCAATTAGAGTATTCTTGGAAATAGCCAGTCTAATGTATATTACAAGCTGCACTCGTCCGGATATTGCATATGCAGTGAACAAACTTAGTAGATATACAAGTAACCCAAATAATGACCATTGGAAGGCATTGATAAGGGTTCTTAAATATCTACGATACATCTCAAATATTGGATTACATTATACTAGATATCCAGCTGTATTAGAAGGATCAGATACAAAAGACTCAAAATCCACTAGTGGGTATGTTTTTACCATTGGTGGTGCGGCTTTATCTTAGAAATCGTTTAAACAAACATGTATAGCTCGATCCACGATGGAATCTGAGTTCATAGCTTTAGATAAAGTTGGAGAGGAAGCTGGATGACTTCGTAATATATTAGAAGATATTTCATGTTGGTCCAAACATGTGCCTGCAATTAGTATGCATTGTGATAGTCAGTCGACAATCGGTAGAACACAAAATAGTATGTATAATGGTAAGTCTCGACATATTCGTTGAAAACATAATACAATTAAAGAGTTGATCTCAAATGGTGTTATTTCCATAGATTATGTAAAGTCTAGAGAAAATCTCGCAGATCCGCTGACCAAAAGCTTACAAAGAGATCAAGTATACTATCTATTAAGGGAAATGGACTTAAAGCCTAATACGCAAAAATCTTTGTAATGGTAACCTAACTTTGCTGACTAGAGATCCCAAAATCTTGGTTCAATAAGACAACTAAGTTATGAAGATTCAAAGAAGCACTTCGGAGTTAACTCCTACCCATTCCTATGATAAGAAAGTGCAATCTCCAGAAATTTTTAGGTTAAGTTATACTTTTAATAATTCCTATATCTTGGACTATCTAAGTGGGATATGGTAGGCACTCTTAATAGGAGATCACCTATACAAGTGTGAAGTATGACCGCTTCTATGAGAATGTTTCAAATGCTTGAATTCTCTAAACCACTTATGAAATTCAAGAATTGTTCAGGGCTAAAATGAACACAAAAGTGAGGACTCGAAAATGTTAGGGAGGTTATTGTGTCGATACTACTGTCTTTGTTTACATCAACAGTTGATAGTTCAAGACACCGAGTTCACTGATTAGCCAACTAAATCCGATAACATTCCGCCGATCTCTCTATAGAGTCTACATAGTCTCTCGCATTAATTTCCACTCATGTGGGGGATTGTTGAGAAAAATTGGTTTTTATTAGTTGGTTTGAGCAACTTTTAATCAATTATTTTAGTGGGTCCCGTTAGTTAGACAAAAGATTTTTTTAACCGAGTGTGTTCTATTCCATGAGTAGACTAATGTAATCTATTCATTTTCTCAAAATCAATTTAGGGTGTTAAGGCTAAAAGATGACTACTTGAAGTTGAAATAAATTGGGAATAAAAATTAGTGGAAAACTAGAAAATGCCAATCGCACATGGAAAACTAGAAGAATACACTTTATATATTGCTCAAGTTTGAGACTTGGGTTTGGACTCCAAGGGGTACCAATAGTCTTTGAAGGGGAGATAACCTACATGCTAGTAAGTTGAGTCAAAGACCACAAGCGAGCGTCGTCCTCGCCGTCAGTCCGACCGGCTAGCTCAGGTCGACACGGCACGATCACGGGTCACGGGCTTGGCTTGAACTTGGGCTAAGTTGATATATATTTTTTGGTATAATAACATTTGAATTATATTATTATTTAAAATAATAATATATTTATCATATTATTTATTTATTTTTTCCCCCGAATTTTCTGTGCGCGACACATGGTTTGTTATAGAAGATGGCTGTTGACAGTCAAGCTGTTTGTCTAAATGCATTGTATCTGTTGAAGACACAACTTTTCGACTGTTGTGTCTTTTGGACACAACTTTTCCACTTCTATCTAAAGGTCTCCATACCCCGATTTTCATTTCCAAAATCAATTCTGATTTTATTCTTCTTCCAAATTTATTCATTCATCCCTGCATTATTCCATATTTTGCAATTCAGTCTCAAAAGTTATTTTTCGTGCATTTTAGTCTTCCAATTTTAGGAAGATCAAAACGAGAGTAGATTCATCGGGTATTGTAATTTGAAGTGCTACTATTACATGTCGATATCGTTGTATCTTGGGAGACGAATGCCATAATACCGTCGCACTAGTGCAATGCATTATCGTCTTAAGGGGAAAGAGTCGAACTCTTGCCTCGACCATTAACATTTTATATCGTTCATTTTGCAAGTCGTAATTCTGCCCGAATTATTCACGATTATGTTATTATTTGCCAACGGGAAGTAGTTGAAGTGGCAACATTGATGGAAAAAGAGATGAAGTCGAACCATACAAGAACAAGGATGAAGGTAGAGGTGTCAATCCGGGTGGTCCGGGTCGGGTCGACCCGTCAACATATGAGCCCAGTAATGGCTCGAGTGAAAAAAACTCGCCCGTTATGGGTTTCGGGCCGATTCCAGGTCGACCCACAAATTTTGGACTACAACTCAAGCCCACCCACTGACCCATCCGGGTCGAGCCCATGAGGGTCACAGGTCGCGGTTTGATTTGGCCGTATGATTGTATAAATAAAATTATAAAAATATAGAAATTTTCATATTTATAGCAAAAAATATTTTTTTTTTAAATTAAATGTAAACTAAGAATTGAACAAAATGATAAATTCATTTTTGTACCAAGAAATGTTTACATAGAATTCAAATTTAATGTTACATGAATTATTTATAACTTTACAAAGTTAAATACTTAAATTTAACTTAAACAAATAACAACTACATGCATTTCTAATTACTATTATCAAATATTTATAGTATAAGTATATTAAAAAAAATTTCAAAAATTTTTAATTATTTTTTTCACGGGCCAGCAGGTTAATCGCGGCCCGTGAAGATGCAACCCGTGAAACCCGTGGGTCACACATCCTTGACCCGTGAACCGCCCACTCAGGTCGTGGGTTGGCCCGTGGTTCCGTGTCGATTTTCACTGGTCTGGCCGACCCGTCCATCTTGACACCTCTAGATGAAGGAAAGGAAGGGTTTTGAATTGGGGAAGAATTTAGTCATTTGATTTGTTTTGTTTTATTTTGCTTCTAAAGGTATTTGGTTAGTTATTATTTCCTCTATTAAAAAAAAAAGAATAATTATATTACTATCACAAAATTTATTTATCACACATTTTTTTAAACACTACCGTCATGATCTTTCATTTGTCCCTCTAATTCTTCTCTTTGCTACATGGTGCACAAAGCTAATTCATTTTAACTTCAATAATATTTTTTTTTTTTGTTTTATCGAGAGAGCCCCTTTTCTACCCTTCCCCCCTTATCCAACGACGGTAAACGGTGAAGATCGTGTTAATTTTCTTTTCTTTTCTTTTCATTTTATTTTGTTTTCCTTATCCAGTGATGGTAAACGGTGAACATGTGTGTTGTTTTTTATTTTATTTTTTTCTTTTCGTTTTAGGAAAAACTTTATAAACTCACCTAGAGTTTTTTTTCTTTGACGCAATTCCACAAATAGTCATACGCCTTAAAAACTAAAATTATTATAGTTAGACTCGGCCTCTCAACACGATTCCGAGTCAATTTCTCGATTATCAACCCTTAAGAGTCTACAAAATTATTGAGCCATTGTGATGAGAAGTATGTCTGGGTGGGTGGGGGTTGAGAGTAAGCTTTGTTTGGTCTTTATTTTTTCAAAAACTCATTTTTAATTACACATTCTTTCACAAAATAATATTACACTTAAATCGAATTTTTTTACTAATTTTTTAACCACATATTCTCTCAAAAATCGTTATTTCAAAACTCATTTTCTCCCAGTTTCCATTAAAATGGAATCCAGACAAGGGCTAATATTAGGTTTCAGGGTACACCACACAATATTATACTTTTTTTTTTATCATTTATTAGATTAAGATTAAAATTGTAAATTTGTTGTGGTATATTTATTAAAAACATGTTTTAATTGTAATGCAATTATAATGTAGTGCATCAAGTAAAATTTATGGTGGTAATATAATTACATTAAAAAATTATTTTAATTCTAAATTTCTAGTCAAATGATATTTTTACAAATAACTTTGTAAGTATGGCTATCTCACCTAATTTCCACATTAATTAATAGATTTGTGATTTTTAAAAAAATGATTTAATAATATTAAAGTATTTACGTTCAAAATCGATTGGATTTGAAGCATAATACTTACACCATTTTTTTAAATATCAGGCTAAAGAATCTATACCTCAAATTTGTGAGCTAATTTTACCCAAATAACTAAGAAATTTAAGATTTCAACAGAACAGATCAACTTGAGCTAAATTCCCTCGATTAATAGAAACCAGTTTCTTTTATCAGTCAATGCACTATTAAGCCCGAAACAAAATCAAATACCTATCAGAAAATACGAATGAGCACCCGAATGAATAAATGTACAAAAATCAAACATTTATTACCATCTTTTAACCTATGTTTGGCCCCCGTTTTTACAAAAATTCATTTTTGACCACACATGCTCTTCTAAAAACAATTTTACATGTAAACCGAAAACTTTTCCTTATTTTTTAACTATAAATTTTTTAAAAATTACTATTCCAAAATATGTTTTCTTACCAAAATTGGGGTCAAACAGGGGCTTAATCAGCTATACAGACTCCATTCGAAACCCTAAATCAAATCCAGAATTCGGGAAAAAAAAAAAAAAAGGAATGCTAAAATGAAAAGAGAATTCTTTAATAACATATTCGAATTCAAAAGAACACTTGCAAGTTGGAGACGTGGGATTTCCAGCACCAACTCCACCGACGAGACTGTATTTATCCTCAATTTCACAATAATTTTATGCTTTTCAATATAGCCGTGGGTGTGTTGCGATCCGGCGATCACGGTAGAGCTAAAGTGGTTATAATATCTTAACTTGGTAACTAAGGGCATTATAATCTACTCTTTTCTTTTGGAATTAACGTCAGCTATGCTACATAATCTTAACGAATTAAACTTCTGCTAGAAGAATTTCTCTAAGAACATTGCTTTCTTTTCACTACACTTGTCCCAAAATGGTTCCTCCTTAAACACCAAATGTTACCACAAGAAACAAGAAAGATGAAGAATATGTAGCTTTTACTTTCAATAATTCAAAATCAGTGCCTCCCTCTTGTATAGTGATTGATCAATGGGAAACTACTATCTCTACGTTGAGAGAGAGAGAGAGAGACAGAGAGAGACTGTGCATAATGCTAGCTTCAAAAACCCAGCTTCAATACATTCTGCACATTGTTCCGACCAGCAGTATAATTGTATTATCGAGATTAATCATCTCTCTTGTGCTGATCAGTTGAGACTACCGTAATATTGTCATCTTTCTTACCGCTACTTGCTTCTGTTGAACCATTTCCATTACGACAAGGAGCCAACTCCTTTGATTCCATATCCTCCTCGATTGGAAGTGTTAGCTTTGATCCTTCTAAAGCAACACCGAGGACAATATTATTTTCAAGTGACGGCCTGCCCATTGGTGATGATTGACTAGATTTTTCGCCATCTTGTGATGATGCTGGAACTTTGTGCATGTTACCACCACCAGACTCTTGGACGGTAAAAGGCTTTTTCTCAGCATCCTCCGATAAAACATTTCCTGTACCTAATTTTTCTCCAACAAATCCAACACTGCTTGAAACCGAATCAGAATTCATATTTGACATTGTAGTATTAGTTGATGACGATGCAACCTTCGCTATTTTCTTCTTGTCAAAGTTTGACTCTGATAAATTGACATCCTCTCTGGTACCATCTTTCGACAATGTTGATTCGGTCATCACATCAACCATGGGATTTGGTGGTGAGTGTACACCTAACTTTGTGTCTTTCTCTCCACTAGATTGTGCTGGACGAGTAGTAGACTTGGTTTTATCCTCGCCATTAATCTTGTAAGAAGGCTCAATCAACAGGAGGGAGCGGTTATCTGTTGCTCTTGCCCGAGTGAAAATGGTCTCACTAAATGCCACATTCTCCAAATTGGGCTCACCATATATTTTCTGCACTGTGCGAATAGGTGTGGCTAGTCGAGCCTTGTGATGGCTGACTACTCGAAGGAGATCCAACAACACAGCTTCCTGTATTACATTCAGGACTCATGAATTAGTCATCAATAAGTTTATATTCTCAATTTACTACCACATCAGGAAATGAGCAAAAGTGTTCTCTGTTATAATTTCATTACACCCGTTACATAGGGAAGGGTGAAATAGAAGGGCTCTAGCAACATAAAAGAGTAAATTTCTGAAAACTCTTGCAACATGCAAAGGAGGAATAAAAGGGACTGTCGCAACAGCCCTTCATAGTCCCTTCATTATATGTATAAGGAATCCCCGTAGCAGTAGGCCAAGGGTCGGAAAACTCTGGGATGGAAGCAAAAGAATTGGTTTCATTCATCCGCAACCCAAATGAATGGACCATGAAGGGGTCAGTCAACAAGTTAATATGTGAGAGATCTAACTGTAAAAGTGAAGAATCATCAACAGGTCAACCAAAAACCATCCTCCTCTGTTTTGAGCTATTGAAGACTGTCCTTTTTCCATCTTGTTTATCTTCTACCTTCAGAAAATTCCTTTCTGTTTTTTAAACGCAAAATTCCATTTTTATTTTGACAAGGGAAAAAAGTAGAGCATAAAAATTCATAACTGTAGAGCTTCTCATCTCTACAGTTACTAATACAATCCTATTTTGCTGCTAAAATGTAAGGAAATTTATGCAATATAAAAATTGTTAAGAATTTCTAATATACAAGCTTAACTTTACTCTGGACAAAAATAGCCACCCATATCAAAACATGTTTTATCAATCAAATAAATTACCTGTATAAAATCCAGCGATATTGGAAATTGCAAATACTATTTATGAGGTAATAATGATATATTTGGTTGATAAAAAAAAACAAAAAAAAAATCTGATATAGCCAGCTTAGATAACTCCAGCTGACAAGAGTACCATCCAAAAAGAAGCACTACTTAAGAATGTTTATCACAGGACAGCCTGCCGGCCATCCCCCAATATTTAAAACTTCAACATTTTACAATGCCAAATATAAGGGGAGCACAAGCTCTCCATATTTCTATGTTATAGGCCATTATTTCAAAATACCCTAGAGCATCCGATTTATAAACAGCTACATCGTTTAATCTATTAGTTGTAAGTAACTCTTACCTTGACGCACAAGTATTCTTCAAAACGTGAGGTTTTCACAAAGCATGACACCATAATCTGTCCAGTAGTACATAGAAAAGGATTACAAAAGCAGCTTTTGTAATAAAAAAGCAGAGAAAAGAAAGGGGGACCCATTAACAGATACCAAAGTACATGTATTTGTATAAATATCGAGACATTGACAGAGTACTTTACTCAAATGTGTCGACACAGGTTGTGGAGCAAAGTCTTGAGAGCAATTACTTTATGTGTAAAGTCAAAGTCAAGTCCAAACAGTCTGTCTCACCAAACAGTCTGTCTCTCAATATCCTCACTCAGTGAAAACAAAAAAAGGGATTTTCCCTTCCATCGATCGTTAACATAATATCATCATAACAGTTGCTGATTGGACACACTTCAATAGATAAATACTGAAAATTCAACTATTCAAAGAAGTTGTGGAAATGTAGAAAGAATTCCAGTTAATTTGTATGATGTTTCATACTATAGCTCTCTTATGCAAAAATGATGGTAGCATAAACTGAATAGGAAAGTATCTATTGTTAAAGCAGTGTAGCTGTCCATCAATCAACAGTATTAACTAGATAATTCCAAGATTAATTAATACTAAAAGTAAAACCTCCTCCAGGGTTTCCAACTCTGCAATTTGGCATGTTAAGATCTTCAGTTAAACAAATAACAAGAGAACCTCCTTGCCCATTAATTTCTCTCCTCAAGTGCATCCACGAATGGAAACAACTATCATACAAGAACATGATAAAACAAATGGAAAGATTAGGCAGTAAGATAGAACATACCAACAGAGCCTGATTCTCTGGATCAATATTATCCAGGAAAACTCTTCTATGTAATTTTTTCTGTTCTATTTGAGGATTTTTGGCCAAAACTTTGCGCATATCAGCTACAATATTCTGTTAATTGAAAAGAGGAGAGAAACATGAAATACAGAAAAAGAACTTACATGTAATTAAATTGACAAGGATATAAACAACTACTCACGTTGATCTTGTTCACATCCAAGTGATTAATAGCAATATGGGTCTTAATGCGCCAATGAGTCTTCTGGCTTAGATTCCTTACCACATTAACGGTGAATCTATGATTTGGGATGTGAATAGCTTCACGATCATCACCTCGTATAACTGTTGGTGACCACCAACCCACATGCTGAAACAAAATTAGATAACTATAAATAATATAGTACAAGTTTTAGTCCTTTTTTAAGAGCAATGCTTAATTGGACAATGCAACAACCCAATAGATTACAGGATGCTATTATTTTTTATTTCTAACAGTGTCCTCACTATTTTTTTTAGTGGTGGACAGCAGACAAACCTCAACAGTACCCGAAACTTCATAGCCTTCAATCTTTGTCTGGATCCAATCATTTAAAATAAATGATCTTGTTGTATGTATTATTATACTTGAGAGGAAATTCGTGAGTATCTGAAGAAACCAGGAAAAAGTTCGGAAGTACATGAGATACAGCTCAAGTGCTAAGAAGGTACATAACTGACATCTTACAAAATCATTTTCTTTACAGAAAATAACAAACGATGTAATAAATATAAGATATTCCGAAAGACAGTTGTGAATTGCAGAGAAAATTGTCGAGAGAGCTTAATTTTACCTCACGACCAGCAAGAGTGAGCAATAATGTCCCAAGACCTCCAGCAGTTAACCATCTCTGGGTAGAAAAACCAAGTAACTCCATGAACAAGGAAACAGCAGCAACCCACACTGCAGTGTATACAGCTTTGCCTGCAAATTCAAAGCCCATCTGCAGAGGCAAGATTCATCATTCATAATATGATAACTGACTGAACCATGTGAATGCTTATAAAACACCAGTCTGACATTTTCAAGGTCGACTAAGAGATGGTATACTTCGATGCCTAAAGTTGTTGGTCTCTTATTAAAATTATCTCATCAATTTCATGGATGCCTCGAAATAAACTGCATCAGAAAAAGAATCTCAGGTGCTTAAAAGTATTCTGTTATCTAAAAATTTAAAGCCTCGGAACAAGAGCTTTACGTCTTTAAATGAAGTTCAAGAAAGCATTGGTCCTTGTGCAAATGGTAGACGTAGGACCATGAACAAACGAATGGGTAAATGTCTTCCCAAACTAAATTCAGTTTTTCCTCGTGTATTTTACACGCTCCATTCCAGTTCTAAGTTTTCCCATATGTATTTGAGTTGTTCCAGTGCTTTACTATAGCAACAGATAAGATTATTTCCCTTATCTATTCAATAAACAGTATCGTGTCTTGTAGCCCATATTCTACACAGAAGTTCACTTTCCAAGATACAACAAATCCAATCAGTTTACATGTAACATAAGAAAACATAAAAGTATTGCATAAATGTCTAAGAAATCAACATACATTTCTTGCAGCACTAGAGTCTTTGGTCTCCACAAAGAAATTTTGTACTTGTTGAATCAAGCTGTCAAAACAAAACATTATGAAGTTTTAAACATCATAATGACAACCCTATCCCAAAAAAAAATAAAAAAATTGGAAAAACTGGAAGGGCAGGAAGAATAACAGGCTATATATCAACCACTGGAAATATGGGGAAAGACAGCAACAACAACATTTAACAAAATAACAAAGACTTGATGCTTCTAGATTGGATTCGAAGACACAGAACATTTTTCTGTCTAGAAAGAAATGAATTTATAAGACTGTTAGCTATTTCAAAAGAGATATATGGGAAAAAGCTAATATCCAACAAAAAATAATATTGAAGTATTAGACAGACAAGATGAGACCTTTAGCCCAAAAAACCAAAAAAGTATCTCCGCCAAAAAAGCGAAATTTGAGATAGTGAAGAAAAAAGATGCAAAATAAGTCGATAAACACACGTGTGTGCTGCAGCAGCATAATAGAGGTATGAGAAGTAAACAAGAATGCAAGTGAAGACGAACAAGAAGAAGAAGAAAAGATGCTATATTATGTTGCAGCATAAGGTTTTTCCAGCACAAAAGAGAAAAACTAGCAGTAGAATTAATTTGTGTTTAGTTATCCAAAGTACCCACAGGAGAAAGGGAGTAAAAATGTATCCCAGCATAAGAAGTTGTAAGCAGCAGTTATACTATCCTTCTAACAATAAAACAATAAGAATATCTGTTCATTCAACTTGGGAAGACTGATGAAAAACGGATATGCACGTGGTAAGTAATAAAACAGTTTTTTCTTAGCCATATCTCTCTCTTTTATTTTGGAAGTGATCAAAATTACCTTGATAGACAGTAGGCAAAGGCTAGGACAGCAGATAGTGATCGTACAAAATTCAAAAGCCGTTGTTTGACAGCTTGGCTTGCGACTGAAGGTAGAATGACTGGATTTAAAGCTCTGTATAAGTCATGCGATTATTAGAGCTAGAAGAGGTGCTATCAATTAGTGTCAAGAGAAAGCAGCATTGGTTCTGGTATTGTGATTTAAAAATGTCATGCAACTGAAACCTGCATATGAGCGTCACTCCCGTCCACAGGAGCAAAGGTCGAAAATAACAAGTCATCATATAACGTGTGCTACTCTTCTCCCAACTCCTATCACTCTTCTGCATAAAATTTCAATGTGAAGGACTACTCGAGAGAGATTAAAATTTGAAAGAGAAAGAATGCTAGTAAATGAAAATCAGTACATGAAGGAAAAGGATCCTGCCAAGTCGCATGAGTGGTCCAATACCCCATGCTGCAAAGGCAATGATAGCCACAGCAGGAACCAATTGCAGCACAATAGGTCTTTCAAGAAAAGCATTATATGATCTGCATGATAAAATGACATAATTGAATGGAAATAATCTTTTCTCTTCACTCTTCAGCGAGCACGGGGAAAAATAGGTCCTAACCAGTTTCCCCCTTCCCAGTTGAAAAAGAGACCATTCCAAACAACACTAGCAAATAATACCTTTTAATCACCACAGCAGCTGATCTCACAATAGGAATCTCATTCCCTCCACCTGGTTTTAGGAGGGAATGGCATAAGAATATATCACATCTAGTAGATATGAGACTTAATTTCCCACGTGCACTCCTTAAGAGATGGAGATTTGAAGCATCCTTTTGCTGAAGATTTAACTGGCAAAATGCAGATTCACCAAGTTACCTTCCAAGATAAGAAAATAGCAGCAAAGCTTGAACTATAATTTAGTAGATAAAACACATGATACGAGAGAAAAGTTGATAGAGACACAGAAAGCAGGTTCATGTGAATCTGCGATTGTGTCTGGATACAGGGAAAACTACATTGCTTAATCAACGCAACAACAATCAGACTATTATTAAGTAAAAGTTAGTAAAATTTAAATAAAGGAACATCCAAGTATAAAGCTCTGAGGTTAAATGTGAGACTGAAAACTAATAGTTTCATTTCTTATGATGGAAGTGCAGAAAACAGATGAAATGCAAGATGTGCCCACAAATATTACAAACACAAACAAGGTATTAGAAGGAAAAATTAAATAATCTAGAAATACATCGTAACACCACAAGGTTCTGAGGCTAAAGAGGAGCATACCAAAGAATGTGATGACGAAGGTATGCTAAAAGAGCGTAATTGGACCTTTTCCATCATGCCCTAAGAAATGACAAAGAAAGGCATTAGTGATTGGAAATGTAAATAAATGGCCATGCATTATGCTTGGGAAATAGGCATAATTGGACCTAATTCATTATTTGCTAGAGAATAATAAATAATTAAATTAATGAAGCACCAGCAATTTGGAAACGTACATAAATGACTGAGTAATGTATTTAGATAAGGTATGTCATGTACCTTCGATTGGCCAGTGTAACCACGAATTCTTTGAAATCTCCATTCCTGGGGCACCAGCAAAGCACTGGCAGCTGCCATTGGCTAGAGAAATATGATGTCAATGCCCCTAAAGGAACAATATAGGTCCCAAAGTGGAAGCGTTTCACAGGTGTAACCTATGTATTTATGAGATCGCTTATTATACAAAATTACAAAGTCAAGGAACACAGAAAAATTGTAGTGGAAGAACAGCAATATCACTAAATCGAGAAAAAGATCAAGATCCAAGAAAATTGAACTATAGTTTTTCAACATGGCACTCTGAATAAGTGAGAACAGAAAGCGTCAAAAGTAAAAACAACTAATTTTTAAGGTAAAGTCTCACATCATATAAGTTTAAAAATACTAAAGAACATATAAAGGCTAGGGTTATTCTTCTTACTAAAATTGACATTTTAAGATGGAATTCCAAGGTTTAGAATCATATCAAAGTCCCTTGAACTCAAACAAACGATTTGGTTTGTGGAACTCAAACGAGTATTTGAATTTCAAGATAGTTGTGCTCAAACGAGCCAATCTTACAATGGCACAAGGGCAAGATCCCACGTCAAATACTAACGGTTTGGGTTACTCCTCCAAATGGAACCCCAAGTCTCAATGCTAAGAACATTGCAAATGCAACCGTGGATTGCTAAAATGTTTATGCACATAAGCAAACTAAACATTGTCTCAAAAAATCCTCTCCAATAAAAGGATTATGTCAAGCTAACATGGCAGAGAAAAAAAAAGTATATTGGATTTTCTCTCCCTTCCTTTATATTTTATTTATTTTTATTATAGAGCAAATAAAAGACATAATACCATTCTATTTTATAGAGCCAGTAAAACACACAGACCGTAATATTTAGTGGTAGATAGAACTCACTGGAGACCAATTTTAGGTTTGACCGTCTATTCATTATAAATCAATGCCACGCCGAGGGCAAGCCTTTCAACTTGCTTGCCAGTGCAATCCAAATGCATTGGACATGTCTAGAAGTTTACAAGGTTTTCACATTGAAAATCTATTTGCCTACACATCTACAAGTTATAGACCTCCCAATTTTATCCATCATGTTAATTATACTAAGACGTCAAATTATTAACGCCTGCATTCCACTTCTTACATCAAATATTGACATGATCATCCCTTTTACTCATTTCAATAAAAACATCATGTTTCAGTTTCATTCAGCCAAATTATCATAATCAAACCCATAAATTTTCAACCTAGAAAGAAAGGAAGAAAAATAAATTAAGCCCAGAATTGATTCTGTAAGATTAGGTCGCAAAGTGAGCAAAGGCAAGACGAATCTTACCAAGTCTGTACGCCAAAAGTCGAGAAGTTTGCTCAAATTTTCTGATTTCAATTGTTTCGCAATAATTACAGACCGCGAGCGGATGATAATCTTGGTCCGTAGGGCGTTGGGAAGTAACTGTTCCGGCGTCAAATTGAAAACTACAGAATTTAGCATAATTTTATATATGCTGTATGAATCTCTTAGCTCTCGTTTGACCCTAATTTTATTTTTATGCTAAAATGAATTTTCTAACGCGGTAACTGGGTCAAATAGGTTGTTTCATAATATAAATTGGAATTTTAGCCTTTCATCAGAATTATATTTTGAAAATAAATACTTTAAATCATAATTTTTAAACTACCTAATCTACCCTCATTCAACAACACGTAAGTTCACATTTTCTCACATCAATTGAATCCTCAAAATCATATCTTCTCTCTTTTCCCAAATTGTTCACATTTGCATTTCTTTCCCCAATCAGTTCCTCACAGTTCCTCTCATCATTTCTTTCCTCAAATTGTTCGTTTCTGCATTCAGTTGCATTGGTCCCGGCCGTCCGATTCGTCTCTGCATTTCTTTTCTCAAACCAAGTCTCTGTCAACTCACTGTATTGCAAGTACAATAATGTCGTCAAGCTTCGAAATTCGTTAACGGGAAAACTTGAATGAGGAAGATAGAGAGAAGGAGTTGGGGACCGCGTCAACGCGTGGTCATAATGGAGCAAAAGGGGGATTTTTTTACGATGGCTAAATTAGAAAAATGACAGTCATACGATTAAAACGTACATGCGCCATTTTAGGTATCCAAAACAGCAATTAGGGAATCAAAAGAACTGAACACTAAATTCGTAGAAACGTCAGCTATGCTTTTAAAAGGCAACATGTCGTTTTGGGTCAAAAGGATTCAACGTGTGGGGGCTGAATGAACGAAAGTTATGCGAATTGAACACTGAACTAGAAAAATCGCAGTCATACGATTAAAACGTCCATGCGCCATTTTAGGTATCCAAAACAGCAATCAGCTGAATCAGTAGAACTGAACACTAAATTCGTAAAAACGTCACCTATGCGTTTAAAACGGCAACATGCCGTTTTGGATCACAAGATCTCGACTTGTGGGGGCTGAATGAACGAAAGTGATGCGAATTGAACACTGAATTAGAAAAAT